TCTCCCTGAACAAGCCCAAACCTGTCTGATCTCGGAAGCTAAGCAGGGTCGTGCCTGGTTAGTACTTGGATGGGAAACCACCTAGGAAGACCAGGTGCTGTAGGCACAAAAAATAAGAGATTGTAAGATGACAAGGTCCTTGCAATCTGTGAGGTCAACCAACAGTTGCCTCGCCTAAAAAAAAAAAAAAAAAAAAAACCTGTAAAAAAATATACACATATAGTGTAGAGGGCCTTTTTAGCCAACCTCTGAACTATCAACCCTAGGTGCTAATCCTTACCCAGGCCAAGTAAGAAAGTAGCCACCAAAGGCTGGGCTAAGAGTGAAGCATTAATGATTTCTCTTATTCAAAAATCCAGCTCAATGCTATGGGACTGTCAAACAACAAGATTAATCTTTCAAAACACACATGAGAACTAGGGTGTCCAAATAAGCACTCCTTTATCGTAAGGTGAATCATTCTTCCAACAGTCAGAATTTGTCTGTCTCTTCTGGAACAGCCCTCAAAACTAGTTTACAATCATCCTAATTTTTTTGACAGTCATGACTAAAGTTTATAATCACTCTAATTTTTTTCAATCTCAACTAGTTTGGACTCCAAAAGAACATCAACCAGATTTTCTCTACTTGTCTGCAAGTAACCACAAAATGAAACTCTACCCTCAGAGAATTAAAATTTGCCACCATGAGGATTTTCAAAGGAATGTGCCATAGGCTCTGACAGCAATTCCTAAAGATGCTTTCTAACATAAAATGAGTACAGCCCACCAAAAATACATGCATGCAAGTTTTAGGGGGTAGATTACTTAGGTATGTCAGATTTGAGTTATTTAAAAATCCACACACCTGCATTCCTTAATGCTCCTGGCATCAGGTATGACAACTGCTTAAACATAATTTTCTGATAAAGATATATCCTATGAATTCATGGATCTGCTAAATATTTGAGGGAAGAAGCCATTATAGATAAAGCAGGAGGGATTTGCCAGTTTTCTGGTAGCTTAATTCTCGTTGCCAGCTTCTGAGATTGTGAAATACAATCTCTATCCAGCATTTTACCCTTTTCCTCTTCAACTCTACCACCTCTTCCCCACTCTTAAAGAGGATTCACTTCAGCTACTAGGACTCAACCCTCTCTTATCCCTTCACCTTGAAGGTGTGCCCAGTACCAGGCTTTAAGGACCACCAAGATGTGATGACACAGAGAGCAGAAAGGGAGGATGTGACTGTGTTGTGTTTGTGCTCAGAGAAGTGTTCAAACAAGAAAAGGGAGGATCCCTTCCTGTATGTGTTATTTCATCTTAAATACCTTTCCGTTGTCATCTTTGGGCTGTTCTCAGACATTGAAAGGCTTGTAGTCCTTCCGACATGCCACATAAAGTATAAGATTTATGTCCTTCTTTCCTGCACACTTAAGACTGAACTGCACAAGCTAAATCACAGCCCTCTATCCTAGCCACCCAATCCAATCTCATATTTATAGTACTCTGCTGCTTCCTTTTCACAACGACGACAGAACAGATAGCTTCCTCTTTTCTTAGAAGGCAGCCCCTGTGCAGAACTCCATCGTGGTCTCATGTACATACTGTTCTGTTAGTATTTTTTAAGTGATTTCCCTATCAGCCTCAGAGCTCCTTGAAAGCTAATGCAGTACCCTGCTCACTTCTGTATCCTTAGCATGTAGTAGTAGGCACAAAATAAATGTCTGGATCACATAAGTGAATGACAGATTTGAAACAGATTTCAGAAAGAGAATCAACCAGACTATTTGGAATTGTGGCATACGGCTGTCTTGTAGTTTTTCCTTAAGAGTAAAAATTAGAGTTGATAGCTTATGCAATAACAGTAAAGATATTTAAATTATTCAATGGTAACAGATACCATAATTACATGGCAGCTTAGGATAATGTCACTTATTACATGAGCAACTTTAGACAAAACACTTAACCCTTGTGAATCTGTTTCCCCCTCTAGCAAACCCCAAAAAAGAAAAAAAAAGGTGGGAGGTGGTAATATCTATTCTATCTAATCACAAAGTTGTAATAAAGCTCAAATGACATAATGCATAAGATCATTACACAAATCTAATGTGTTATCAGATTTAAACAAATAATTCTCATCATTAGTGCTATTTTGTGCATATACTTGACTAAAACATGAATAAAGTTCAGACAAAAGAGCTTATTGTCAAACATATAATAAATATAATAATATGTGTGGATCATGAAAATTTTTTCAATCATGGGAATACTTATAAAAACCATCTACCTATTCAATTCCTCCATAAATAAGCTCATAATTATGTGTAAGTTCAATTTTAAATAATCCTCCAGAGAGTTTCAGACTCTTCTTTTTGGTGCAGAAACAGGAGGCTTTAACCACCAGGACCATGGTGACCTTCCTGAAGCCACAGCTCTGGGCTCTGCCACAGCACTGGGCTCTGCACCGTGCTCTGCGGCAAACAACCCAAGGAGGCACAAACCTGCATTTCAACACAGAGTTGGCTGATCTATGACCAAAGCCTGCAGCTGAAAATACAGGAAAACAGAAAGAAAATTCTTCAGTATACAGCTCATAATACAGCTATAATTACAAACGACTACAGCCTGAACCTTAAAGAGATTAATAAAATCAAGGAATGAGTGGACCAAAGCCAGCAATACACAATAAACACATAGTTAAAAGCAACTTCTTTTTTCAGAAGAAAGTACTTTTGTCAGAGCCATTAACTGTAGAGAAAATGTAAAACAAACAAACAAAGGTTGGTTCCGAATATGTTACAAACATCACAAATAACACCATGCTATAGATTTGGAGGCTGTTTGGGTGTTTCGACTTCACTTAAATTCCTAAAAATATCTATCTACTTCTCCAGCAACCATTCTCTGTACGTTAAGCAAGAGAGAAAAACAGATGGCCAACAAGATGCTGACACTGCAGGCCCAAGGTTTTTTAACTGTATTTTTTTTCCAGTTAGACATCGCTAAGAGAGATGACATACAGGATAATGTAGTATAAATTCATAAGAAACCAATTCAAACTAAGTCATATGCCAACCCAAACAATCCTGTATTGGAAAGCAAATCATACACTCGTCCTTAATAATGTTTACGCTCTGGCATTCACAGTTTGTAGGAGTTTCGCACCTTCATGAAGGACAGAGAGGTGAGCTAATCAGTGTGAGTCCTAGAAATAGTTCTTCAGCATCATCTCTAGAAACACGCAGAGAAGTAAACAACAATCAGCTGGAAGCAGAAATATCAAGAATAAGGAGCTTCCAGGATTTCCCTCTCCATGTAAAAGCAATCAACTCCTATTTTTAATCTTTCTGACGCAAACATCCAGCCAAACCTCTTTTTCTGTCTAATCAAAGATAGCTGATTTACTACTATGAAATAACTGTTTCAAAAGTCAATTTGAATGTAAGTCATCACAGATTTAAAAACAATACTTTCATCTAGGAAAATGATGTATGTTGAGAGGCAAAATGGATGGTAATCACAGAATCAAACCTATGCAATGATTTTGGGGACTGGTCAAAAGAATAACTTCCCAACTGATTAACTGAAAAATAATATGTTGGTAATTAAGTGCAAATGAAAACAGCACCTCCCTATACATTGGGAAAACCTAACAGGGTTATTAATAATAATTTCCTTCCATGCCCAACTGGATTTATAACACAAATCTACTTCTGGTTTTTAATTGTAAAGGATGGGAGGGTGGGGGAGATAATGTCTCCATGAGTAAACAAAAAGTCAGAACTTTCCAGGGAACTTGTCACATTCTTCTTTTCCAACCAACAATTTTTAATCCACTTGAAAAATGATGGTCAAGAGGGCCTTTGGCAAGGAACTCAATAAGAATGTGCAGTTCTAGGGACACCACCACAGTACTGACATCAAGCTTGGACAAAATGCTGCTTTTGTCTCGGAGACAGCCTGTGATAAAAACAGGAACTTTATGGAGAACTGATCACAACTGCACAAGAAGCTTGACCACATGCCTACAACACAGCAATGTTTCTCTCATTGTTATCCAAGGGACTTCTCTAAGAACAGTGGTTTGATTTATTCCATTATATTAATTCTCAAAATAAATCCAGCCCTCCTTGTACCAAATCTACTGTCCAAAAAAAGAGGGTGATGGCCAGCCTTTGCATGTAACCTCTCCTTCCTCCTTCAAAGACTCTAAAAGGGGATCAGATGCGGAAAATTCAGCCAGAATACAGGCACCAGGAAAAAAAACTATGACAAAGGTGGTCTCAAGACAACTCCGTGTGTCTCTCTCTAGGTTAATGCCACTGCTCCAATCTCTCTAGGATCCTCCATGGCCCACCCTGCCTCTATCTCACTCCTGTCACTAGAGAGGCATCTCGCATTGTTAAAGGAGGAAGAAGAAATGCTGCGGATTTCCCATGTGTCTTTCTCTTTTTGAGAAAGGGGGGGAGGGGACTGAAACAGGCGTGGGGCCCTCCCCTCCAAAAGGGTAGAGAACAGGAGAAAGCTGTCAGCCACCCAGCCCGCAGCCTCACCCCCACCCCCACCCCCACCGTGCCCAGAGTCCCCGACAGAAACGGAGGGCGCAGCTTTGTCTCGGGTTTTGGGGACCAGGGAGCGCAGAAGCAGCCCGGGCCTGGGGAGGATGTCTCCCCGAAGCCGCTGCTTTACCCTCTCCGCGAGAACACAATGAAGCACATGGGAAACCCACTTCACCGGGTGAGAGAGGAGGAAAGACGACCCTTCATAGCCCGGGCCAGATTTCCGGCACCCTCCTCCCCTTCTCGCCCGCACGGCCACCAGGGCGCGCGGCAGAGACCTGGTCTCCCTGTCGCCGCGAACCGCAGCGGCGCCGGGGCGCTCGCTCCCCCGCCCGGCTCCTACCCTCCGAGAGCTCCAGCTCCAGCTCCGCCAGCTGCGCCCGCA